GAAAGTCTGTACATCATGCGAAACTATTATTATTACAAAATAGAAATGAGCTCATGTACAAAAGGAAAACGTAGTCTACGGGCGTAAAGCACATCCAGTAAAACCAAAAAGTTCATAGCTATAAGCTTTGTTCACTGTTTCACCTATCATAATACATTGTGAAGCTATTGACTGACGTAGTATTAACCACACTTTCTGGTAAGCTGATTTAAGTGTTGTATACGCGATTGAGAAAAAACCACTGACGGATTATCGTTGTGACCGCGGATGTTGCTGTACGACAGTTGGTATACTCGTAGGTACTTTGGGTTGGTGCCAAACAAGCCATAAAATATTCTAAAGGTAACTGTGAGATCGCTTCAAATTCTTTGGTCGGAAAATGTGGTCACGTAGAACAACTCGAGGCGATTTTCATAGCTGAGTCTGTGAGCTCCAAGTAGTCTCCCATACAGGGGAATTGTCCTCAAAACTATCTTGCAAATGAAGGCGCAAGTGTTGACGTCAGATCCTCTGAAAGACCTCTCTAGCATATACATGGTTTCAGAACTATGGGATCAAACTAGGGGCTATTCAGTGTAACAGTAGAAAACATTTGAGTATAGGGACCCATATCCGGCGCTTGTGTGTTGTTATCTTTGAAAACGATAACACAAATTGTTTTTTGTAGCTGCATTCCATATCGCCTTAGTCGTGCTATCGTATTTGAGAAGTTTGCAAGAATTTAACAAAAATTAATTGTTGCTAATGGAAAACTTTACCAATCAATGATTGGCGGATATGCATTTGGCATACGAAGTAACAAGCTGCAATGCACGAGCAGCAGCGCGGTTGTTTCAAGAACGTTATCCCGAACGACAACATCTGGGATACAAAAAGTTTATTGCTATTCATCGGCGACTCTCCGAGGCAGGTATGTTTAAAACCAACATGCATAATACTGGTGTTGTTCGAACAGTAAGCACGGTGGAATTTGAAGAAGAGGTCCTTCAGCGAGTTGCCGACGAACCATCAAGTGGCACACGTCACATTGCAGAGGATATGAATACGAGTAACACTTCCATCTGGCGGGTGCTACACGAGCAACAACTTTATCCTTACTCCTTCTAGAAAGTTCAAGGATTGACTGCAGCCGATTATCATCCTAGAGTTCAATTTTGTCAATGGCTTCTTCATCAAATCGCTGCACAACCAAATTTTTTATGCTATGTTTTATGGACCGATGAAGCCTCTTTCACAAGAGATGGTATTTTTAATATACGTAGGTGTAGTAGGAATAGCCACGTTTCCGATAAAGAAAATCCCCATGCAATTTTTCCTAGAAACTCTCAGCAACGTTGGTCTGTCAACGTGTGGGCAGGAATTGTTGATGATTATTTGATTGGGCCATATCTTCTACCGGAACGGTTAACAGGATCTATCGACCGTACAAGTACGTGAGAATTTGGCTCGGCGGTTTGGGTACCGTTAGATTGCCAGAGATGGAGCAGTTTCTTGATCTCCTAGGTCACCCGATTTAGCATCGCTAGGTTATTTTCTATATAGGATCGGTAGTTTCGAGATTATCGACCAAACGTTTTTATCGAAATGGCGGCAGATCCCCTGTCATGACGCCAATTTGCAGGTATCAACAGGAATCAATAATCGAATTGTAGCACCAAGAAAATTGTAGGAGAAAATCATCTATTTCCGGGTCTATGTGACCCAGTTTAGGAACAAGTCAAAATGGCGGGTGCGGTGTGTCGACAAGCTAGACCGCCAACATTTTACTGTTAAAACTACCCAGGCTTGTAATAAAAACAAACAATACCTTCAATAAAAACAGTATTAATTTAATTGTCCTAACAATAACAATTATCCTGACCAAATGATAAATAAAGCGATAGAGCCGCCACTACAAAACGGAAATAAAATTCGCTCGTAAAAGTGCAATTAGCTTGAGTATTTCGCGCCAGCGGCCGGTGGAGTTTCTCTTAAAGAATGACCTTTATTGCCAATTACCTCCTACAGGAGCAACGAGCTCGGATTCTCAATTCAGATAGATATAAAATCTGATGCATTCACTTTGTTAAAGAAATACAGATGGAACTGAAGTTTTATACTGCATCATACTGTGATCGCACTAGAATGGTACGAGTACATTACGTTTTGACCTATACTGCATTCAACAGTAGAGGTGATCAGCAAGTGACATCTTTGTATCAAAGTCTGTAGTTTTATTAAAAATGCATCGGATGTGAATCGGGTAAAAGTCAGAACCGTATTCAGGACTGTTTATACCATATATAGGGAGCATTCAAGCACCGTAAAGCGGTCCAGCGGTGCAGGGCTTTGATGCTGACTAGTAGTAGCCGTGGAATAGCACCAACAGTTCGCAACATCAACCAACATGCTATCAAATCTAACAACCATGTGTAAACTACTGTCAGATGGTCAATGTACCATTCGTCATTTGTCGGGGCGATTGGACCTTTTCCCATTAGTCACTGTCTAATATGCGCTAGTCGAATCTTTGGGTGCTGGTTGCCCAGAAACCAGACAGTATCAAGGAAAAAGAGAAAGGAAAAGAAAAGAAGACAGAAGAAGAGGAAAGAAAAACAGTAGTGTATTAGTTTAATAGGAAACACCTAGGCTTTTTGACCTGGTACACGGATTAATTCTGAGGTGAACTGAAAACAAGTTTTAATTCAGGTTTTGTTAGAGTGTAATTTGGAGTTTATTGAAAGTTCGTGCTAATTTTTGATCACCGTGCGAGCCATGGCCTTGCCTGAGTCACGCAACAGAGGGTTCTGTCCGATTCCGCTTGACTATTACGTCGCTGCGCCTAAAGCTTGACATAGTCCGTCAAGTAAGGAATGTTAAGGTCTCTGTTTAGTATATCATTTGAGACATACCATGGATCGTTGCAAATTGTTCGCAAAGTTCTGCTTTGCAGTACTTGAAGACTTTGCATGACGGACATTGTTATCCCATGGCTACTGTTATTCCCCCATAATCTACGCGCACTAGATTTCCGAGAGCCACGGCACAGGGTTGGCTTAGCTATTATACGCAGAGATATCATTACATGTACATTTACTCTTTAATTTTTATAGAAGCAAAATAATAAGGAATTTAATTTCCTACAAAATTGTCGCTATTACTTTTTTACATAGGATTGATGGTTTTCAAGATGTTAGATCAAACGCGTTTATCAAAATGGCGGCAAATACTCCAGCCCCACCATGATGCCAATTTCATCTTAAAAATACTGTTGAAGAAACTATAGAATTTCCTTATACAAAATTTACATAAATTCTTCCTTATTAAATTAATTTTCTCAATTGCTCAGTTATGAAAAATCGAATTCAGATTCAAGATAAACACCTTGTATAAATAGGCATGCCTAAATCCAATACACTCAGGGTGGGAGTATAGCGGTCCCTAAATATTTGAATGAAACTTGTGGATTATCATTTAAAAGTCTTCCATCAACGAGATCCATTACAGGATATTTGATGCAACAAATTCTGCAAAGCTGATAGAATAATAACAAAAGATAATTCCAGAAGAAAGGGCTGCAGCTTCAAAACTAGAGATTGTAGAAAGATGTATCTCCCAACCATCCCCTTTCGTTTGGTATGCTCTTTATAATAATCCAATAATAGTTTTGTAAAAAGTATGTCTTAGAAGCCTTCTCACTCCTGATACACTTTCTATAAGCCGAACTGTAGTTAAAGATGAATCAATTCATGAGAAAAAAATCTGCACAAAGCGGAGAACGGACTGTGGATTTTTAACTAAACCTCAAATAGACCAATATGCATTAATTAAAATTTTAGACATCAATTTTTAGAATTCTATGATCAATGCTGTATACAAACCTCACTTCTGGGTTGGAGTTTTTGTTGAAATTTCTCAACATGAGTATTTCAGACACCTTCATGTCAAATTAGGATTGATTATAATCGTGGATGGCCTAAATTTTCAATGGTCTCTTGTATTAGGAGTTTTCTTCCTTGCAATGCCAAACTCAATTTATTCTGTCCTCGTAAACTGCCTTATTATCGGAACTTCCAACTGCCAAGTAAATTATTGCCTGTTTCCAAAGCAGCAATAGTCACGTAACGGAAAACAGGGCAATTTATCAAAGACAGTAAACGTACGAGAAACTTCATCAACAGAAAAAAAGTTCTATCCAAGACACCTGTTTATTATAACTTACAAAACACGTAGTCGATAGAAACACCCAACCAGGCACGTTTTTTTATACTCAAGAAGCTGTTGCCTGAATACCTGGGTACCGCGAGTGCTATAGAAAATTTAAGAACGAGTTACTATAAATTTTCAACTGATTGAACTACTTTTACATCAGAACAAATTTGCTGCGTAACATGCTCCGTAACATCACAAGTGCCAGATTATTTGTATGAAATAGGTTGCGGAATACGTGCTGAGGACAAAAATGCGCCAGCTTCTTGAAGCGTGCAATATGAGCTGCAACTTGCGCCGCGGACATTCAAGTGTGCAACGTATACCTAATGTATTTGTATGGTTAAAATATTGCGAATGTCGAAGTAAATGTGCCAGACACAACATGTTCTAAACATAACCAGAGAACAACTTACCGAGGTTTTATCTGTAGTACCGCCGAGCGCACTCCGCGAACCAAAAGAGAAGGGACGCTTGCACTGAAGAGGAACAAGAACGGATAGAGGCACCATGTACAACTTTCCTTGTCGCATGCGTACGATTTTTTCAAATTTTACGGTAATTTATTAAATAATATATTTTTTTGTCTCATAGAACTGTATGGTTCTCTGGCCAAATGAAACCACAAACAGCACGTTTCAAAAAGGTATCTTCCCTACTTATTTTAAGTTAACAAGCTGAAACTCGTAATGATAAAATTAACGCAACGTTACAATAGCAGTCCTATAGTATAAACATGTTCATCTACTGAAAGGCGAAATAACTGATAACTGATCATAGGGTAGACAAAATAAATATATGAAGGTACGTACTCGGATGACGGTACTGCAGCCAATGCGACGTCTTGGTATCGGCTTTAATAACCAACATGTAATCAATTGGAGCTTAAAAATGAAACGAATTACAAAATTGGTAGTTATGACGTTCCCGTCAATAGTTTTAATGAAATTGCTTACTCTTATCATAGGCATTACATAAGTATAGAATGTGGTTGATTCACGTGGGTTTGTACAAAAATAAGGTTTCCACGGAGCTCCAGCCACACTGTAAGGTGCGAGACGGAACCTGGCATCAACACCGCGCGCGACTGTTCCCCCTCTAGATTGGCCCAGTCGCGCTACGCTGCGCCGCTCGTTGTTGACTCAGCAGCCTTCCGATTTGGAGGTTCTCACTGTTAATGCCGCCGAATGCGCGATTCTTTATTCTTCATTCTTCATTCATATTAACTTATCCACAATATAAAACAATAAAAATCATAAAAATTAAACAATACGCGTCAAAAAATGAATAACTATTGATACCAGTCTTATGTACTCAAGTGAAAGCTCGTACATCCTAAGTACTCAGCTACATGGTCAAATTAATTTTTAAGAATACTATCTTAATTTCTTTTGTGGATGAAGTGTAATTGCTAATTGATTGAATTATAACTGGTAATTTGTCGAGTTGTATGACGCAGTTGTAATATGGGGACTTTTTGAAATAGGTGGTGGTATGTTTCTTTACTAATTTCAAATTTTGATTTCTTGTGTTTCAGTCGTGATAACCATTGATATTCGGAAATAAACTAAGAACTTGTCTTGAACATTTCTCAACAGAATTCAAGTGGCTTCATTCCAAAAATGAATCTGATTATTCTTATTTGTTCCACAATCACTCTCTTAATTTCACATGATTACCCCCATACCATAATGTTGTAAGATATGTGGCTATAGGCTAGTGCATAATATATTTTCTCAGTGACATCAGAAGTGTTACACCCAGAAAAAAATAATTTATTCAACTTGTTTTTTGGCAATGATGTATTCTTACATCAAGAATGAAACGATAACATTCTCACGAAATTTTATTGACAAGTAATAAGAGTAAAAGTTAATAACGTGTTGAGCAATCCCGCAGCTGAATACACTCCTGTATACGTCTAGGCATCGACAAAATGAGATGATCCCCACTCCCCATCATATCCCACACATGTTCGATGGGATTTAAATCCGGGAACGGGGTGGCCACGGCAAATCATTAACGCCTGCTTCTTGAAGAAGTCCGTAGTATAACGAGCATTATGAGCATGTGCGTTGTCTTGCTGAAGAAATACGTGTGGACGGCCCTCTAGATAAGGCAATAAAATGGCAATAACGAAAAATATCTGTACTACTCGGCTCTTAGAAACTGCTGTCCAAGAGGTAACATTTTAACAAAGATAAAACGTTGACATTGTTGCCACGCATGCTCTAAATATAGTCATTATGTTGACAAAAAACAAGTTGAAGAAATTGTTTTTTTCTGGATGTAACAGTTCTAATGTCACTGAGTATATATTCATTAGGGATTTTTCATTAAGAAAATTTCTTACATGCAGTATAGCAAAATATGCGTTAATTAAATTTTTAAAAAGAGATATGATCAATGTGTTCCTGAAAATTTAGTCTGCTACCAAGCAAGAGTCAGATAAAGTAAGGTCTTACATATCCAGTTCTATATTGATTATGCGATCAATGTTAAAATTTATACAATAATCTTGCTTAAATTTAGCATTAGCCGATTTCTTTGGCACCAGGATGAAAATGTATCGTTGAATTTTGATATGTAGGTGATTCACATTATTTGCAGATACAGTAATTGTGATCTCATCTGCAAAGATAGTTATATGCCCCTCAGAGATATGAACCGGGCAAATCACTTAGATGTAAGTTGAATAGCAGTAGTCCCAATACAGATCCCTGAGGGACACCTCTCCAAAGAGACTCTACCTGTGGATATTCATTGTCAGCTGACAGAGGTGTATGGTGACAAGTGAATGCTCCTTCAACACTTTCGAAAATGGTGAGAATTTAGTGGCGACCTGAAGAAAGTCCACGAAGAAGAACCGAGTGAACGACATTTAGACTCTGAGGCAGTTGTCGAGATGGAACAGGAGGATTACTGCCCGTGAGCTGCCAAGAATCTGAGCAACAAGTCCACGGCGATGATCCTCCTGTTATGAATGACTTCGCGTTGGGCCATCTCGATAATCGCCTCCGAGACTGACAGTCGTCCACTCCGTTCTTCGTCGTAGTTTTTCTTCCAATTCGCTTCAAACTCCCTAAGCCACTTGGGACGTGTTGAAGGGACATACACTTGTCGCCACGAACGTCTGTCAGGAATCAGTAAATATCCACGGGTGGATTCCCTCTGGCGGCAAAAAGCGAGTTATGGAACGAATGTTGTAGTTGGCAGGATCAAAAATATGAAACTCCCTATTGCACGGCCGCTGAGCCAAGAGTGAGCGGTGTAGCGGAGCTCGGCGGAGAGAATCGAAAGTGGGGGAATACCCGTGGGCAGAGGTGTTGCCGGTTTTCGCCTCGCACCTTCCAGTTTAGTTGGATCTCGAAAATAACAGTTAAAAATATTCATGTAATATTTCTTAAGTAGAATGCGGGTGTCATGTGATACCCCATTTTTAAGCCTCTCATGAGTACTTGATAATTTTAGAATGTAAAATCAGTATTTTCCGAAATGGCAGGCTGTCAGTATCGAGCGTTTTTGTACATTGAATCAGTGATACGAGGGATTGCATATAGAAACATAGTAGGTCGCGCGGATCGAACGTCGGTACTGAATCTTAACCTCACTCTTTAGTAAACTTAAATTCAAAGTTTCACAACAATACGTTCAGTGTTCTCACTACAGTGAATTTTTAAGTGTCACCGAGTCATTAGAAAAATGGAACTCAACCGACAACATTTTCGCGCCATAATTTATTACAACTTTCAGAGACAATTATTGCAACAAGAATGCCTTGCTGAGTTACTGTCTGTTTTCGGCAACAGAGCGCCACATCAGTCGACAATTTCCCATTGCTATGGAGAATTCAAACGTGGGCGGGTGAGTCTTAGCGACGATCCCAGGGTGGGTGCACCAAAAACGGCAGTCACCCAGGAAAACGTCGATGCTGTACTCAAACTCATCATTGAAGATAGACATGTAACATATCGCGAGATTGAGGCGTCCTTGAAGATCTCAAAGACCCCAATTCAGAAAATTTTACATGAAGAATTAGGAGTAAGAAAATTAGTTTCTCGTTACCCCACCTGTTGACTGAAGAGCAGAAAGCAGCCAGGGTTAATTGGTGTCAAACAACGCTTGACCGTTTCAATTCCGGAAACTCAAAAAATGTGTACAGCATTGTTAGTGGTGATAAATCGTGGATTTACTGTTATGAACCAGAAAATAAGCGACAGTCGGCTGTTGAGTGTTTCAAGGAGAAGCAAATCCATTAAAAGTCATCCGTTCTCGAAGTGTTTCGAAAAAGATGGTCGCGACATTTGTGTCAAAAGCGGGTCATATTGCAACAATTCCTCTTAGTGAACAAAGAGCTGCTACTGTGAATTGGTATACCACCATTTGTTTGCCAAAAGTCATCACCGAGCTTCGAAAAATCAACCCCGAAAGAAGAATCATCCTCCACCAAGACAATGCAAGCTCGCACACAGCACAAAAAATAAGGCAGTATTTAACGGAAGAAAACGTGGAATTATTGGACCATCCTCCATATAGTCCCGATCTAAGTTCTACCGATTTCTTTACTTTCCCGAAAATTAAAAACCGGCTGCGTGGTCAAAGGTTCCTGTCACCAGAAGAAGCAGTTAACGCAATCAAAAATGCCGTTTTGGATCTGCCAGCAAACGAGTGGAATAAGTGCTTCGAAAATTGGTTCGAGCGCATGCAGATGTGTATTAATCTTGTGGAGAATACTTTGAAAAACAATAAAGTTATTCAAAACTGCCTACCGTGTTGTTTTATTGCCATATGCAAAACTTAAAAGACATCCCTCGTAACTCAACAACTAATAATCGAACTTTATAGTATGTTATATAAAACTGACAAATTTTGATAATTTTTCAAAACCAAGTGTTCCATATTCTATTACATATTTGGATAGATCCTTCCAAGAGATATCCTTCCTAGAAAAAAAGATTTATATAACATATTATAACGTATGATGATTGATTGTTGAGTTATCAGCAAGGCATTGTACCAAAAAGCTCAACTTTTACAGCATATCAGTTCGTCGTTTTGAGATATGGTGATGTTTTTATCTAGAGCTATAAAGTAATCATAAACAGCTTCAAAATGAGATATCACGTGATCCTCCATCCCATTTAAAAAAGTCTTCGCAAATTTTCAACTGCCCCTGTTACGCTAACATATTACGTTATACATATTATGCTGAAGTTGCTAATTTGAGCCGTTCAAAAGATAACTGAAGAGGGGCCTTTTGAAAAGCACTGTATGTAGTTTCATTTTGCTATAGAAACTTAGAGTTCCACAAATACTGTAGTTGACATCAACAAATATATTGGGCCAAATAAATTAACGTAAGGTTCGAAGAAATCGTAAGCATGGTGCGCGCCTCTCTCCGTCCTTGTTCCTTCCCGGTGCAAGCACTCCGAAGCGGCTGATGAAACCCCGACAAGTTTTCCTCTGGTTACATCTTCCAGTGTCAAGAACATGCCACTTGCTGGTGAGAAGCGTAAGTAGCAACTTTTTGAAGTCTTATTCCGGTACGTGATGAAGGTTCATAGAATTTTGCCGTGGAAACACTGGTGGCATGGTGAGCACATAGTACTCTTCTAAGTGACGAGATGCCTCTTTGCTGACCGACACTTGTCCGTTTCATCGAAGCCAACTGTCACTCAGAGATGCCGAGAAACTGTAGTTTCCTGCTATCGACTTGGGGTCGGTGTTTTTTTGTTTGAGAGAAGGGAGCTTTTATAGACACTCTCGAGAAGAAAAACTCGACAATATTGCCCTGCCAGCCCTTCCTACCCGAAGTGTGAGATTCTCCAGACATGACATACTAAAATTCCTCAGTCATTCTGACACATCCTACCACGGTACTGCTTGCAGCATTTTTCCATAGTGGGTAACGTTGCGCTAGGTTTTTATACCGAAGGTGTCAGTCATCTATTCTCTATCGAATACCTACTTACTTCTATACCTATATTCAATCGAGCAAAATAGAAACCTACTATTGGTTCCTATGTGTAATTTTGTTCTCCCCTACCTTACTCAGTATCATCCGCCTCATTATTGC